ATGGTTAACATAAATAGAAATGTGTATACTTTGTAACCGGATAAAAAACCGAATCGTCGCAACGCGCATCTTTATAATAAATAACAACACTTTCTGAAATTTTGTCGAGGGTTGTATAGGAATGATTGGGTTTGGGCAATGTGTTTATTTTTTTTCCACATTTCAAGCAAGCATCGTAATACCAAGGAAGATTCTGTCTTATATTGACGATGAAACCAACTAATAGAAATTTCATTACCTATATGAAATAAAATGTAAAAGTTAAAAAAAACATACAATATGTAAATGAAATTAAAGGATATCAAATAATGCAGTATACCTTTAGTGGTTATGTGATCTCACACATTGTTTTTAAAGGGAAATCCCTTTAAAACCATCTACATAAGAAGAAGAGTGGCTTGGAGTGTTGTTATGCTTTTTTCAGACATACCTTCATTGTTAGCAACTTTCGGTCTGTAATATTTAAAATTATTTTTCTACATATAACATTTTGTCTTTGTTTTAATTACAAAAAAAAAAAAAGTTTTAAAAAAGAAACTAACTCTTTGTTGAACTCATTAACAATGACGTCATTAATGAACAATTTGGTTATATCAAAATAACTTTGGGTTTGACAAATTCCTGTAAAAAGAAATTAGTCAATAAAAGTAAACTTAAATAAAAAAAATTAAATATATATAGCGTGACTACAAACCATCCCAAATGTTAAATTTAACAAACTTCATCACTATAACAACACAAGTAACCGTGGGGTTTAGTTTTAAAGTAATATAGTGACCTTCAGGTGTATACACCTAAATAAAAAAAAAAGAAATTAATTACTACAAAAAAAATCATTAAAAATAATAAAGAAAATAGAAGAATAATAATCTCACTGTAAGTTGCTTATAGTCATCTTTATGTAATGCTTGGATGGGTTAGGATCTGATGTTTCAAGTGCCCGAAATGAGACAATTTGTCCAATAATTTCTACACAAGTTTAATAAAATATAATAAGTAAGATTAAGTTAAATACTAACATGTATAATAAATTACACAAGTTATAAAAGTGATTCGAATAAAATTAAATAACTAACCAGAGAATGAGTCTCTTGGACATGTTTGTTCGATAATAGAATTAAAATCAACAAACACAAAACCATTCATCGGACCTGAAAAATCCTCACATTTTTTTAGAATACTTTTCCAATTCAATGTTATGTTATGGTCTGTTCGTGACCCGTAGCACTAAAACTCTTATTCACAGCCGTCATGTTGGGTTTTATAATGATATAAGTTTAACCATCCTTTAAAAGTTCACCAAATATGGAAAAGTTTTGATTGAAAACGCGAGAATTGTATTTTGTACCCTGTTAAATTAAATAAATAACAATTATTTTATTGCTTGAAACATATGTAATATTTAGTGGGATATTAAAAAAATACTACAACAAACCTCGTGCATTACGATCATCTCAATTAATAAAACCACATTATTCTTTATAAAGTTTAACATCTTTAGCACCCACACTTTGATATGTGAATTATCATCATTCTGTTCAATGTTTTTGAGGTATACTTTATTACTTATATTCATTTGTTGCAAACAATTGAAAGGAGACTGAAAGTTAAGAAATCAGTAATGTATATCGGACATAAAATAAAATTAACAGTTAATAGCATTGTAGTATTGTAATAACAGAAAAATAGATAGAATTTTTAGAGGTTTCATTAGAAATGTATGGAGGTTTATATGTTCATCCTGTTAGACCGAAAACACAACAGTTGTCCCTAATGCATACTTTATATACACAAATGGTAGTAAGGAATGTTAGGGCAATTTCGGAAATTCAGAAAGTAAGGAATTTAAACTGTTACAAAATTATAAGAAAATAATGAAAAAGGATCTTGTTTTAAAGTGTTACAAAAATTGTCCATAATGCATACTTTATATACCCAAATGGTAGTGTTGGTAATAAAATATAAAAAAATAGTCTTTGTTATAATTATTTTTTACAGGAATGGTCCATATAACATGAATATAATGAAAAAAAAAAAAGATGACGTTTTTAAATGTTACATAAATGGTCCATAATGCGGAAATTCGGATACATATAGATACAAACAACAATTGAAAAGCATTTACTTTGTACTTTTCGATCAAATATAATAGAAATCACAAGAAAATAAAAAATAAGATGGTATTCCTTGCAAGTTTCAGCATATTAAAAAAGGACAAAGTTCCAATATACTTTGTTTTTGTATCACAATGCATATATGAAATCATTATCTTGAAGTAGTGTTCTTATTAATTTCACAAGAATTTAATTTATTTTGGTTTTAGAATGATCAGAAAAATAACAATCAATAGTTTATTTAAGAAAAAAAATTCTCGATTGAATAATTCATTAATTTGATCGTCAAGAAGTTGTGGATATGTTTGCAGGAATGGTCATACGATTGAAGTTGTAATATGAATTTTGAAGTTGTGAATATTTTTCTCTTCAAATTATGGAAAACTAACACCACATGAACAACATACAGTACTTACAAGTATTGAACATATGCCGAGTTGGATGTTTTTTTCTTCTGCTCCTGGATCTGTGAAAGAATGGAATTGTGAAGGATGAATCGAGAAAAGTGAGAATATTTAACCAAGAAAATCGAAGAATATGTTTTTATAATTAGGGATATTACGTTAAATAAGGTTGTGATCAATTGGAATAGTTAATTATCGAGTGTAAATGTTGATTTATACGTAAATAAATAATGTTTAATGAGTTTCCTTTTTTAAAAATACACACATGAGTCTATTGATTGAAAGAGGAGTAATATTTTGAATTTTAACAAACTTGCTTAACTATCGGATGGTACCTATGGATTAATATGTCAAGATTTTACAGAGATATTTCGAAAACTTATAATTTCAAATTTACAGAAGATGCTGAAAATAAGGAATGTAAGGGCAATTTCGGGAAATCAGTTCAATGAAATGAATGGGAAATATCGATTGGGGAGGGGCTATGAGAATGCCACATGTCATAGAGGATACTTATTTATTAGGATAGGAGAGGAGATTGTTGATTACATCACTTATTTTAACAAATATATTCAGTGAACTAGGTTACAACCCGTGGTTACCACGGGTAAAAAAAATTATAAAACATTTATATTATTAATAAGTGTTAAGTTTGTTTAAAACTTTTTGTATTGATTATTTAAAATTAATATTAATATATATATATATATATATATATATATATATATATAAGAATAGAGGTTAAAGATAAACACAGTGAATAATATAAATTACAATGGTATATAAAAAATAAAATATATAAGAAATGTAATAAAAATAAAAAAAATAACACAATTGTTTGAATTTAAAAACTACGAAGCATTTATAAATTTCTAAAAACTTCCTTATACACAACATTGGAAGTTTTGTTTGTAAGTCTACCATCCTTATCTAAAATTAACAATTTCAATCATTCTCTACTTTGAACTCTAGATAAGGCAACATACAACTGTCCATGTGAAAAAGCAGGATCTTTGAGATATAGACCAACCTTTGATAACGACTGCCCCTGACTTTTATTAATTGTCATTGCAAAACATACAACCAATGGAAATTGTCTTCTTTGAATATTGAAGGGAATTTTTTTTAGATGGACTTAAAGACATTCTTGGAATAAAGGTTTGGTTTCCAATATTACTTCCAGATATGATAATTGCCTCAATAACACGTTTGCCCAGAGATTTGACTTGTAGTCTAGTGCCGTTACATAAGCCATTTTTCTGATCAATGTTTCTTAGTAACATAACTGGAACACTGACCTTTAAAATTAACTTGTGATTTGGCAAACATGAACGTCCATTTTTAAATCCGAATATCCAGCAAAAATAAATCAATTTAATTGCAATTTATATCATACCTTAATAAGAATCTGGAGGAGTGAATCGGGTATCTATTTCAAACGATCTCACATTAAATTTAAATAGAGATCATATAAAATAAAAATCGGATATTACTTGCATACTTATTTTGAGTTGGACAGATATAGAACGTGATTATAGAAGATGGTATGAATGAGGGACAAAAATGGTATAAAAAACAGATTCCCAAGACTAATAGAATACCTCACTGTATAAAAAAACAGATTTCAAAGACTGATATCATACCTTATATACGAAATCTGATACCATAAAAACTTGCTATTAATCGGGTATGTAATTTAAACATGTACAGCTGTATTCTTTGAATATAATGACGTGATATATTGAATAGAAGGTGAAACAAAACAGGGCGTGATTTATTGAATAGAAGGTGAAACAAAACAGGGGCAAAATTGGTATTTAAGTTTGGAAGAATTAAGTGGTTTTGAAGGGACACGTGGCATAGTAGTATAAAAAATACAAATCTCAAAGACTCCGACTTTTCCATCATTTTACGATTGTGATATAAACCATAGCCTCCGGCCATATAGCCTTCCGATTCAAATTTGGAGATAATAAAAATGGTATTTTAATTTGCTGGAAGGAATCGAATCTATATTTTGAATTTGTGATTCCTGATTTTCAGGAATGAATGAGCTGAACAAAAGGATAGAAGTAGGGCAAAATAGACATTTCACTTTGTTTCCTTCTGTTACACCATCAATACACAGAGATATCTCATCTCACATATCCATTACACATTTCCTTTCATACAATACCTCAGAGTTTGGAAAAACAGATTTCCAAGACTGCATGCACCGAGTTCCTACCCCTAGAATTTACCATTCTATTTAATCTCTTCATATTTGATACATCATTTTCATAGAGAAAATATACTTAAACTAGGAAAAGGAAAAGTACAATGATGTAATTGGTAAATATTTCGAATTATTGCATATAGATTGCTAATCAAACTCTTTAAAAACATATTTGTTTCCTTCTTTTACACCATCAATACACACATATGCCACACATCTATTAAAAGCAGAATAGTCTAATTTCAATCATAACTCAAAAAGGAGTCTTTAATTAAGACAGAGAATAGCAGCGAAAATAAACCAAGAACTATCAATGTTGAACACCATGAAAACCAATACTGCCAAAGACAATCCAAAAAAAAACAAGCAAATTCAAGAATATTGTTGATTCAAAAAGGACAATGTGAAATCACTTTTCAAGCTTTGGTATCAAGAGACCTGTGTTGCCATCCACCTTGGAATTCAATCTAGGTACTTTGGTCGACGAATTCACATTATCATACTCATCAACATCAATGGAATCTCCAACGTTTCGTTTTTTTACCATTGGCGGCAAATTAAACTTGAACGGACTTGTAGCTTCAAATTTGTCAGGCATTGAAGGGGTCAAATTATCACCGGTTTGTGAGATCGCATCCTTAAAGCGAAAACATGAAACAGCTTTAGTAATAAAAAATTTACAAAAATAACTTTTTAAAAGAGATTTATATAAAATTAAATAATGTAGATTTATAATATAACCTTTAATGACTTCAATTCGTGAGATGCGATTTTTGTATCATCAGCATTTGCAGAATTACCTGCCTGCTTCAGAATGTTAAATATTTATATAATTTGTGGGATTAAGTTTTTGTTCCATCGAGATTTACAATTAATTACTGAAGATCATTATATAAAAGTATGAATCATAAAAAGTAATAGTATAAACAAATAAAATAATTATATAAATACCTCAACAGCTAACTTTTTTTTCCAAAGCATTGATAATGTTATTATCAAGCTATAACCAAGTATCCCAAACCGATTGTAGTTATTGGAGACGTTAAAACTATTAACATCTACTTTGAATGCCATCTTTTTATGCTCCAAACATTTAAGGTCATAAGGATACAATCTTGGATTATCCCCGGCTTGGAAAAATGTGTTATATAATATTGTTATGGTTAAAAGCACATTAATATAAACAAAATCCAACAAATAATAGCAATCAATAAAACAAATATTATAATTATGTTATACCTGTTTAATTTTCTCTATGAGATCACTTGCGTGTTTTTTGACGAGTTTATAAGCATCTCTATCAAACAAAGTTAGTGTGATTGTTCCATAATCATCCTAGACACAAATAGGTACCTTATACCTATAAAAATTTCCCACATAAATAAATATTAAATATGTTTAATGGTTAATAATGTATTTAAGTTGTCGATTTGCAATTTTGTTAAATGTAAACAACCTTGGAACAGAAGATATTTCCTTTTTTATACACTTATCACTATAGCATTCATAAACCACACTTGCATCACCACTTTCTGGACCGCTGAACACATTCCTTGCATCTACTTTCTTTCCACGGTTTGTACATGCATCATAGTACCAATCAATATCTTGTCGAATCCCATAAATGGTCCCAACAATGATGAATTTCCCGACCTAAAAAATTATAGAATACAAAAAGATAACTAAAATCAATACAATTATAATATTCGTCAATTAGAAAATAAATGCTATTAAGATGACTAAATTCTTCACATACCTCTTGTGGTTCTAGCAAATCGACAACATTTTTAACATTATGATTGATCAAAAAGTCATCGTATTCAGAATATGATTGAGAGGTATCAACAGTCAAAGAAGAAGAAGGGTTTTGAAGTCCTCGTAGACCAACCAAGCTGTTTTTTATTAAGGAGATTAATTATTAAATTAGTAAAATTATTAAAAGAAACAAAAAAAACAATGAATTATTAAAATAGTTTGTTACCTATCTGTGAAGGTAACAATATCGGGGAGATCAGCATTTATGAACATCCGAGTGTGATCAAAATGACTGTTATCGGAAGGCAGTCCTAACGAAACAAAATAAAAGACTCAAAAGAATGATTAATATAAAAGCATAAAATAAGGTTGTTTTGTATAAAAAATGTACCATTATAGACATTAATTTATGCAAACTGCAATAGAACAATCACACGACCAACTTGTTTATGAGCTTCAACATAAGAAATCAATTGGTATGCAATATCTTCAAACAATGTCACGTTAACCTGCAAACCTCTACAAAAATAATAATGGTTAAATGAATATATAATACAAAAATAACACATGCAAAGTGTAAAGTAATGAATATAATATAAGAAATAATATAAGAAAAGATATGGTTACTCTAAGTTTCGAATCTGTAAAGGTAGTTTATGTCTGGATTTGTTGACATCACGAGAATCAAGCTTTCCTAATGAAACAACTTCACCAATAACATCTAGAAGTAGATAATACAATATGTCAAAATGATGTAAACTTAAAGAATTAAATATAATATAAAATCAAGAAGGGGGAAAATTTACCAATTAAGTCATTAGATGTAGTTGTTGCAGAGATAATTGTTTCAAACGAAACACAAGAAAATCCATGCAAGTTTAACTTGTCCTTTACATCACTTATTTTAAAACTGTATCTGTTAGGAGCAATAGTGGGGGATCAGATGTAAACAACTTGATCTTCTTTCAGTTTCGATTCCAACCTTTGAAAATCTCTTGGATAGACACTTGCTCGGATTTTAGTACACTATTCACATAGGTTAAGAATATTATATAATGTTAAACAGTTGTATTTTAATAAATAGAAATTGGTTAACAATGATTTTGAATAATGTTATTGGAATAGTAGATTTTACCATCTCATCCATCAATATCATCTCAATTGATTTGACTATAATGGGGTTAACATCTGAAATTGATCTCCATAGCCGGATGATAGACACTTTTAGTGTGTAATCATCTTTCATATTGTCCAAGTCTTTAATCAAAGTGATGTTTCTATCTGTCATTGTCACTATAACAGAAAGACACATACAATAATAAGAAGAACAATGGAAGAAAATTGCACACAGAAAATATAAACACACAAAAAACTACCATTATGTCCCTGGAGTACTAATAATATAAGAACAACAACCAAAAACTGAAATATAAAGTTATCTCGTTGGACTGATGAATGGGTAAAATAAGAGAAAAGGGATTAATGGTCATTCTTATTGACAGAAAATTACCATTATGTCCCTGGAGTAGTAATAATAAGAAGAACAATCACAAACTGAATTAATGCAATAAAGTATATTCAAACAAAGAAAATAAAACACAAACACAAACTCTATGTCCCTGTACAGAAAATTACCATTATGTCCCTGGACTATTAAAATAAAGCATATTCAAACAAATAAAATTAATGAAATTTAGGTTTCAAATAAGATGTTACTAAGGTCTAAGGACATATCTCGATTTTATAACTCATATGTATGAATCAAAATATTCCAAAGAAAACAATATAAAATATTGAAGATCTTGATAAGTAAATGAACAAGTAAATGAACAGGTGTTTTTCAGTAATTATTTCTTGTCTTTGTTGGAATCTGAAATTAGTCAGAAATGTTTAAGCTAACATAAAAAATTAAAATAAAGCATATTCAAACAAATAAAATTAATGAAATTTAGGTTTCAAATAAGATGTTAGTAAGGACATATCTCGATTTTATAACTCATATGTATGAATCAAAATATTCCAAGGAAAACAATATAAAATATTGAAGATCTTGATAAGTAAGTAATTATTTATTGTCTTTGTTGGAATCTGAAATTAGTCAGAAATGTTTAAGCTAACATATAAAATTAAAAATCACTCATGTTCATGAAGTAGTTTGTTTATATTCAAGTGACTTATGAAGGAGCTGGTGAAAAAGGGTATCACGGAGAAATGTTTCACGTTGGGAATGAAAAGAAAGAAACAGAATCAGTTATTCAACCATCATTTGTATGCTTTCCTTTATAATCTCTAGCAACTATCATTTGTTATTCAAAATCAGTTCTGGAAGAAGGGTACAATAGTCATTTATATATACTTCAGATAGTTTATTCAGCACTTAATGGGAACGAAAATTACCATTATGTCCCTGGACTACTAAAATAATGCATATTCAAACAAAGAAAATAAAAAACTGGAATATATGTAATATATTTCAAAAGAAACCACTGTATAAGTCCACTTGGCAAGTAAGACCCTTCTGTACTATTGAAAACGACAACATAGTTACCCGTTTAACTGATTTATTCAATGCTTTTCGGAAGGAACCAAAAGGATAGCCAACGACCTGTAGCCCTAAGAGACTGATGTATAAATATGCTTTGCAATTTGCAAATTGCAGAGCTAATTCTTACAGTTACATACAACTATTATATTGTATTACCAATCTTTATACTAAGCCAGGATTAAAAACAACAACATTCAAGATTGATGAGTGTACCAAACAGATTATGCAAAAGTCGGAGTATCTTCAGGCATACAAGTTGTTGGTCTTCTTTCCTGCGGAGCGTGGTATTTCGTAAAGGAACGATTATTCAATATGTATGAAGTTTATATAGAACAGAATATGATTAAAATGAGTAATTAAATCAAATTAATTGCAATTGATATCATACCATATATACAAAATCTGATACCATAATAACCTGCTATTAATCGGGTATTAATCGGGTATGTAACTTAAACAAGTACAGTTGTATTCTTTGAATATAATGAATTGATTTATTGAATAGAAGGTAAAACAAAACAGGGCGTGATTTATTGAATAGAAGGTGAAACAAAACAGGGGCAAAATTGGTATTTAACTTTGGCAGAATTGGGTGGTTTTGAAGGTTCAAGTGGCATAGTAGTTTTGTTTATTAGATAGGGAGATACACGAAATGGAAACCACACAAAAGTTATTAAAATATATTAATGATATAAGATAAACGATTACCAACCAACCATAAAAGTTGCATTATGACATCTTACTTTAATTGTACTTTATATTTGTATATGAGCATGAGTAATATGTGAGGATATGGATGTAAATTCTACAGCAATATATCAAGGCCAAAAGTAAAGTAAATATGTATATAAAACCTAACTTCAAGCTGCAAAACTATAAATACCCAGTATTTGTACAGAATAGAAAAAACACACAAAATAAATAAATAAATCATACCTTTTAAACAGGGAAATCGCGGCTGAATAACTTCATACCCAGTAGGAAAAACCATCGTCAACATTTCATCAACTAAATTCATCAAAAACAATATGATCATGTTGAAACCAACCGCCGGATGAAATATTTTAACCTCCATGAACATTAATCAGGGGCTTCAGTGACATAATTTGCAGAAAATGATTAAGAATCGAAAAAAGAGTCCTACAGAAATACAAAACATAAGCTTATTCAGTCGCTGACAAGCCGCGAGTGTACTATATAGCCCTAAACATGCTTAGGTCGAGAGAGGGTTAAGTAGTAATGTAATATGGGCTTGACCCATTTAGGGTTAAACAATACGAAATTACCATATGCCATATTCACCCTTCACAAATTGGAAAATTTTACCATATGCCAGGTCAATATAAAATGATAAAATCTATATTCTATGCTGTCAAAAAAAATGTTACATTTTTGGCTTTTTAATATTTTATTAATCTGAGTAATATAACTTTCGATAGACTAATTTAACACATTACTAGTTTTGTGGTTAATATCATGGTTGCCAATAGCTTCTATTTTTTTTTTTAATTATTAATATTTTAATTGTATTTAATAGATTGTAAATGTTTTTTTTTTATATTTTAGAGTAAATTACACGGATGGTCCCTGTAGTTTGGGGTAATTTGCGCAGTCGGTCCTTAACTTATTTTGTTAACTTGGATCTAACTTTTGTTTTTGTTGCGCACTTAGTCCCTTTTTCGCATGAAAAGACTATTTTGCCCTTTTCCACTTCGTTTCTTAATAAATTTTAATTATTCTTTATGATTTTAAATATTAAATAAATAAATAATGAAATATAACCATTGGTCTTGATGAAAAAGTCTCGATTCCAAAATCAAAATCAAAGATAAAATTCAAAACATGAAAATCCATATTCCAAAAGAAAATTCAAAACACTCTGATCTAGAAACGATTTCAATATCTTGATTCCAAAATCAAAAAACAAAGACGGAAATCAAAATCAAACATGATGAATCGACCATCGATCTACAAAACTCAAGTCAAAATCAAATGTGGGGTTTATCAAACGACCACGATTTCTGGAACACACCAATTTCATAATCGATTTTTGGTAGCGATGGAACCAATTCATGAGGTTTCTGAAATGATTTCCGAACAAGGGTTGAATAACTAGGGGAATGTAGCAATGGTGGTGTGTTGGCTGCGATTCATGTCATCAATAGCGGTGGCGGGTCCGATTCACGATGTTTTTGTGATGGTTGTTGTGCGCCAGTTTAATAGAATAGAAGGCAACGATGGTTGATCTGATCATGAGCTTCACAGTTGGTTGATGAACCCAGAAAACCTGCAACTTAACAAACCCACAAACACATTCCCTTTTACTCCCCACAATCACATCTCTTTATTGACAAAACGAAAGGTAGGGTTCCACCCTTCAAACCTTTATCTGATGTCGCCGAGATCCACTCACCCCACCTGCAATTTCTTTCTCACCTGAAATCATATCCGAGACCCGAGACCCACCTGTAATATTTTTCTTGCTGAAAATCAGATTCAAAACCAATTGCTTAATCTCACCTGGTTAATTAGATTTGTCACCATCAAATTCAACTTGAGTCACAGTTCACACACATGGATGAAGGAGGGATCTAACTTACACACAAAAGGAGGTATCTGATTTAACTAGAGGATAACGACGAGAAGGATGGTTCATGTGGATTTAACACCCCGTTCCCGAGTTTATCAAAAGAAAAGAAAAGAAGAGAAAGGAAAGGAAAACAAAATTTTCTTTTGTGTTCCCGAGTTGGAGAGAAGTGAAAGGAAAATTAATCATTTTCTTCTTTCCTTCCAAATCCTCCCAAATCGGAAGGAAAGATAGGAGGGAAAGTGATCCTTCCATTTCCCTCCACTTCTTTCCTTTAATGAAACTCGGGAACACCAATTTCTTTTATTTTCTTCTCATTTCCACCCATTTCCTTTCCTTTTCTCCCGTTAAGTTGAACTCGGGAACGGGTTGTAAGAGATGTATGATTTTAGTGGGGTGGGGAAAGGTCAAAAGGGTCTATGGGTTTTATTATTTTAATATTTAAAATCATAAAGAATAATTAATTTATTAAGAAACAAAGTGGTAAAGGGCAGAATAGTTTTTTCATACGAAAGAGGGACTAAGCACGCAACAAAAACAAAAGTTAGGGATGGTCGAAGTTAAAAAATAAGTTAGGGACCAACTACGTAAATTACCCCAAACCACAAGGCTCATTTGTGTAATTTACTCTATATTTTATTATATTATTAAACTCGAATTCATCCCACAGTGGATTGCTATCACTACAAGAAATCGTGTCATTGTCGGCGACATTTTTACCGGTGACAATGACTTTTAGCGGCGACTTAAGCTTAAGTCGCCGATAAAAGTGTCGCCGACGTTGCCTGGAAAACTATGATTTGCATCAAGCCATTTTACCAAACCTTGTCCATTCGATCAGTCTACGATCCAAGGGCTGGGGCCGTTCGTCTCGTTTAATCAATAGCGGCAACACTAATAGCGGTGACAATGTCGCCGCTAATAGTCGAAAAATAACCTGCAATTTTTTCCCTCTTTCGCGGTCGCCGATATTTCCTAATTGTCGCCACTATTTATCTATCGTCGCCACTATTAACCGTCGCCGGTATTACCTCCCCCAGATACAACACAACGTCGTTGTCTTCCTTCTCACTCTGTTACACTTCTTCTCCCGTTTTTCTCTCATTTTTGCTCCGATTTTCGACTGTTTCGGCCAAAAAAACCCAACGAAGGCCACTGTGAAGCTTCCACAAGCTACCCCACTGATATTACCGGCGACCGCTAGGACGACGAAGCTGTCTTCTCTGGCGACAAACGCTCAATTACGACGGCTGAGGTGCAATTCCATCCTCATTTCTTGTTTTCTTTCTCTTTTAATGTCTATTTTCAGGTTATTGTTGAGTTAATTGCAAAACAAATCATTAATTTTAGTTTTTTTAGTTGTTGGATTGACTACGACCACCACCACCCCTGCACTACCTTGTTGATTTCTTGCCACCATTGTTGATTTCCGACCACCACTGGTTCCTTTCTCCTTTAATTTTGATATTATTTCCAAATTTTGTGTATTTGTGTTTGTTATGTTAAAATTAGTCATATGTGTGTATATTTGGTAAATATCTATGTGTATTTGTATGGTGTATGTGAATATATGTATAATGTGTATTTGTATGTATGAAAACATGAACGTGGAATATTGTATGTGTGTATAGTGTATGTATATGTGTGTATAATATGTATGAAATGTGGATTCTATGTATGTATGAAATATGGATTGTAAGTAATGTGTATATTGCAATGATATAGTGGAAAAAGAGCAAATAAAGTAGGATGCTATTATTGATAATGATATTTAAAGTATATGGGTATTTGTATGTAATGTGGATTATATGTGTGTATAATGTGTATTTGTATGAATGAAAACATGACATTATGTATGTATATTTGATTTGTATGCAATGTGTATTTTTTTGTAGGATGCTATTATTGAAAATGCTATTATTGAGAATGCTATTATTGTAGGATACTATTGTTGAAAAAAAAAAAAAAGTAGGATGCTATTATTGAGAATGATATTTTTTGTGAAAAAAAACAATGTGCGTTGTAAAAAGACAAATAAAGTAGGATGATATTATAGTAGGATGCTATTATTGAAAAAAAAACAAATAAAGTAGGATGTTATTTTTAGTAAAAAATAATGTGGATTGTAAAAAAAATAACAAATAAAGTAAGATGCTATTATTGGCAAGGAAAACATAAAGTAAATCACTACAATAGAAAACAACAACATAATATAATTTTGTAAAATACAACCTTATAATTGAAAAAAAAAACAAAAAAATGTTATAAATAATAAAATTATAAAAAAAATACAATGCTCAAATAGAAAAAAAAAACAATATAATAGTTAAAGTACAACGTTGTTATAGAAAACTTAAAACAAAATCAATTACCATAAATAACATCAAAAATATACAAAAGTAAGATGATATAAATAACAAAAAAAATCTTCCAAATTCTATTCGTTTGTGTGTCTTCTTGTCGTTTTCTCTTTGCTCTTCTAGTGTGTGTGTGTGTGTATACACTTGGGAGCAAAGAGGAAATGTTGTCGATTTTTTTAAACATACAATCATGTAATGCGCGTTCACATATGAGATAAGGTATTCAAAAAATGGGTTTAGAAGCCTACCCTTATGAACACTCTATCTGTTTCCGAATTGTTGTCCCCGTTTTCAAGGGATACTATAACGTCCTAAAAATAAGACTAAAATTAATTTTTTTTTTTAAATTAAGAAAACCATTATCAAAAACAACAACATAGAAATCATGGTGAATCAAAGTGTATTAATAAACATCCAAGTACATCAGAGTAATATAAAGTGTGAAATAATGTGGTATGTGCACTGCAATCATTCTGGGCTCTTCCCCTTCGAACTAGAAGTACCTGAAAAATAAACTGAAAACCGTAAGCACAAAGCTTAGTGAGTTCCCCAACATACCACATACCATACATTATTTCTTTTAGGTCACCGTGTTAAACGCGTTTTGGACATCAAGTTGCCGGAAAGGCCAATGTTTTGTAACCGCAAGAGAGAGAACAACTCTGATGGTGGTGGATTTCACCACCGGGCTAAATGTCTCTGTGTAGTCAATTATCGGTTGTTGTTTGAAACCTTTTGCAACAAGACGCGTTTTTGTAGCGCTGAATCGTCCCATGTTGATCCTGCTTGATCTTGTAGACCCATTTGCAACCTAAAATATTGGAACTAGGAATACGAGGAACTATTGAGCAGGTGTCGTTCCGAAGTAGTGTCGAGTATTCATCAGCGGCTATACGCCAATGACAATCTTTGTTAGCCTCGGTAAAAATGGAGGGTTCTAGTGTAGTAGTGGTATGGAAGGCTGAGGGATCAAAGGGTTTGGTTTGTTTGGGATTTTGGCGAAGATGAGCGGGTCGGGGAGGACGAGTAGGGTTGGTTCGGGTGCTGTTGGGTTGGGTTTCAAGCTGTCGGGACTGTTTGGAGGGCTGTCGGGACTATTTGGAGGGCTGTCGGGACTGTTTGGAGGGTTGTCGGGACCGTTTTGAAGGCTATCGGGGCTGTTTTGAGGGCTAGTGGGATTGGTTTGAGGGCTGGTGGAACTGTTTTGGGGTTGGTTTTCGTTGTTTTGAGACGTGGCAAAGCGATCGAATGCGGAAATTTGATGTGAAGGGTTGGGTGCGTTGTGGCAACGCGAGTAGGTTTGAGTTGGAATGGTAATGGGTGTAGTGGGGATAGGTGTAGGAATAGGTGCGGATGTTGGATATGATGATATATAGGGTTTGATGATATGGTGGGTGAGGAGTTGGGTGATGGTGTAGAAAAGGGAAACGAATGTTCATTGAAGCGAACATGACGAGCAATGTAGATATGCTCGGATCGAGGGTCGAAGCATCAATAGCCGTGATGGAGAGTGCTATAGCCAAGAAAAATGCAAGAGATAGATCGAGAATCCATTTTATTGGAATTATACGATCGAAGATGAGGATAACATTGGCATCCGAAGACACGAAGGAAAGAGAAATCGGGTTTGTGTTTAAAGAGAATTTCAAACGGAGAGATGGTGGAGTTGGATCGAGATGGCATACGATTTATGAGATAGATTGCGGTTTTAAAGGCAAAGTGCCAAAAGTGCTGAGGAACATAAGATTGTGTCATGAGGGTGAGGCCGGTTTCGACAACGTGACTGTGACATCTTTCAACGATTTCGTTTTGTTCGCTAGTATGAGGGCACGAAAGACGGTGAATGACACCGATTGAGGAGAAAAAGGCGGATAGTTTCTGAAACTCTCCTCCCCAATCAGTTTGAACGGATTTGAGTTTAGTAGAGAATTGGCGTTCATCCATTTTTACAAAGTGTGTAAAAACATTGAAGACATCAAATTTACGTTTTAAAGGAAACAACCACAAGAATTGGGAAAAATGGTCAACACATAAAAGAAAATAAGAATGGCCATCAAAGGAGGGCACGGGTGCACGACCCCAAAAATCAAAAAAACAAGGTCTAAAACATGAGTACTTTTATAAGAAGAAGATTGCAAATTAAGTTTAGAAGACTTGCTAATAGAACAAGCATTACAATGAAAATCAAAATTTTTATTAGAAACAGGTAAACAATATTTAGATAGCATAGATTGAAACAACTGAGAGTGAGGATGCACGAGACGTTGATGCCATGTGGTTGGGACGTAGAAGAGTTGCAGGAAGCTTTATTGAATAAAGGCCACCATCACTTGGACCCGTGAGGAGGATAGTGTGAGTATTCAAATCCTTGATAACAAAAAAAGAAGCATGAAATTCAAAATAGACATGATTATCAAGGCATAATTTTTGGACAGAAAGAAGATGTTTCTTGATATCAGGGACATGAAGGATGCTATCTAGGTGAAAAGTTTTGGTAGGTGAGTAAAGTTTTGAAAAACCAATATGAAGGATAGGAAGGGCCTTATCATTGCCAACATGAAGATTGTCATCACCATATTAAGATGTGGCTGAAGTGAAAACTGTCATGTCCGGTGCCACATGATTGCTAGAGCCAGTGTCCGGAAACCAAGACGTAGAGGTGGTGATTGAGCGATTATACGTATAGTTTGCAGATGGTTGTTGTCTTCA